ATTTAATTTGGGACTTCCCAGTATTCTGACCCAGCAAGAGGTAAATATTATATGCCTATAAATACTCCCAGAAATTCTTACGTGATATATTCCCAAGTCCAGGCTCAGGATGAGCGACATTTACCAAGACCACTACCAAATGTTGGGATTGCGCAGGGACGCCACCGAAAGTCTTATTAAAAGCTCTTTTCGGAAATTGTCTCTGCAATGGCATCCCGACAAAAACATAAGCGGATCGGAGCAGTTCTTGAAGATCAACAACGCGTACCGCGTTCTGATCGACCCCAAAAAACGAGCCTCATATGATCACTCCACTTTGAAGACTAAATCTCAAAGTCACGTCCACCCCTCCGAGGACTTTATTGTCTCTGATATAATGGCTCGCCGTGATCGCTACTACTTGTCCAAGGGTAACTTTGAACAGCCAAATCGATTCTTCCCAATTCCAAACCCAGGCGAACCTAACCAAGACGATTTTTACAAAAAGCTCAAAGTGGCTATATGTATCGGAGGCGTACTATTGGCCTATGTGACATACAAAATATATCGGGGATACCATCCTCCGATGCCAGTTCCGGAGGCAGTCATCACACAGGTTGTACCCCAGGAATTCAGTGAAATGCACCCGGCGTCTCTGTGGACATTGATCTCTTGGCTGGCCGCTTTAAGATCGAAAACACTTTCAAGACTCGGCAAATTGACTTCAGGTCCAAATATTCGACTGACTTCCAAGACTCTAAATGCATCTTTATCTTCTACTGCTAACGTCGTCGCCAAAATTGTAACCCAAAAACCACAAGCCGCAATTCTTTCGGCGACTTCAACTACGTCTTTGACTTCCGCTGCCAACGTTGTTGCTAAGTCACTAACACAAAAACAAATTGAATTGAATCATGCTGCTGAGATAGTCGCCAAAACTCTAACCCAGGGATCACAAGCCGGAATATCTTCTGTTTCGAAAACAGTTGTCGCCAAAACTCTAACCCAGGGATCACAAGCCGGAATATCTTCTGCTTCGAAAACAGTTGTTGCCAAAACATTAACCCAGGGATCACAAAACGGACCTTTTAATGCTGCCGACTATGCAACTAAAAAAACTTTTGCAGGACTGCTAAAATACTGGAAACAGCTTACTGAATCAGTAAGAAAAGGATCTGCCTCCACGTTATCATACAATGTCAGTCCGGCCTTAAAATCCTTCACAAAAGCCACAGGTGAAGGTGTAGGAAACGGTTGGAAATGGACTGTATCAAAAACCACTCCTTATTTGGGTTCTCCTCAACGTTATATAAATAGAGATACTTTGGACAAGGCAACAAAAGTTATAGTTACTAATATTGTTCCTGGCTCAGGTTCGGTTCTATATTCAGCAGCAAGAAGTACCATCAAATATATAAAAACAGGAACTTCAAAGGCTAGAAGTATGTGGCCAGTTAACTTTTCTTCTGTGATGCCCTTACGCTCCGCCTTTTCATCAGCTCCCAGGGTGGCTACCGAAGGTATAAAAAAACCAATGCCATCACAAACGGCACCGCCGGCTTGTGAATCTAGTCCGAGTTCTCCAAGTTCAGCGGAGCTTCCAGGAAATCAACCAATGACTTCAACAATGGTCTGTCTTGGTGTATGTGTCACAATCTTGATATCATTGTGTGTTTCTGCATATTACGTAATACCTCAAGGACCTAAAATATCAGAGTCACCAACCGGTTATGTTTCGGCTGCCAACAATCTTATTAAGAAAACTTCCGCAGGAGTGTATACGGGCTGGAAGTGGGCCAAAGGCTCTTATACAACTACAGTAAATCCGACTTTAACAGCTTCTAAAAACGCTGTTGTAAAAGGTGTGAGAACTGGCTGGAATTGGACTGCATCCAATACGGGTCCATATCTAGTTTCCCCGCTGAAGAATATCTTTAACGCAGTTTGGGACAGGGTAGTACCGCCGAAGTAATTGGGGAGGGTACATATCGAGTTCTAGGGGCGAAAACAATTTTTATAGGAACAATCAGAAAAAATAAATTTTAAGAAATATAACTTTGTTGTTTTTAATTTTTTTTTTTGATCTTTTCGATGTGGTAATATTTAAATACTACGGAATCAGACATCTTCATATATCATATATGTAGCTCCCATAGGAAAATCTAATAAATTAAAAAAATAAATATGAAAAAAATATTTATTTTGCTGTGTTTCTACTTATCAAAATATTCCTTTGAGATATAGTAATTATATACTATATATCAGAATTACCCTTTTAGTTTTGTTAAAATCGGACAACAATATCATATAGCTGCCATAGAAACGATGACAAAATGCAGCGCACAATCGACATAGCTTCATTGTTTTTAATAACATAGGTATAGAAATGGAAATGTAGTCGGCTTGCCGAAGTTTGCTTCCTTTCTTGTTTTTTAATGAGATCTAGATTAATAAAAATAGCATTTAATAAATAATACTGGGATGAATTCCAAAATAAAATGCATTTTCGTTCCCAGTTTTATAAATAAGACTTTATCTATATTATTTTATTTTTTTATAAACAATACCGTATCTTTATTAATTAACATTTAAATAAATAACAAATGTTATTTTTTCAACCTGTTTTTTTTGGGCTAATCTAATCTGTAAAATAAAACCATTTGTAATAATATAAATATAAATACAAATTATAAACTATTTATATATTTTTTACTCAAAAATTTATTTCAAAAATGTTTTGTAAATTTGTTAAATATGTAGGTATTATTCTCGATATGCGAAATACTTTGGATCAAGTAAAACCTTTCTTTTCAAAATTTATTAGATAAACAAATCTTTACTTATTTGTAAATTTAGACATCATTTAAAAAAAACTACAATAATAAGTACAAGTACAAGGTTACAATAAAATAAAAATCTTTAATTTTACACCCTAAAAAGGAGGGACCGACATGTTCTTAAATATAAGTATAAAGTTATATTTAATATTTGTATCCAATATTTGGTTCATGACACCCAATTTGATTCTCCGGTTTAGTTAAAAATATGTTGTATGGCAAAACATACAAGTTAAAATACAAATATAAAGTAAAACAAGAAGAAACGCTTTAGTCGTGAGCTTTGACTTTAAGATAATAATATAATAAATATAATGTTATATAACTTGTAAACTAATGGTGCTATTTTTTTTGGAGTGCTGATATATATTTGGTGCTAATCACGACATATTTCGCCCAATATTTGGCGGCTACGAGGTCTCTAAAGTGTTTGTTTGTGGGTGCTAGCCTGGGAGTGGCAACATTTGATAAGTGCCAAGTCTCTAGCTCTTATAGATTCCTAAATATCGACGTTCAGATTAGATTAAGAATATACATATGTACTTCATAGTAGAGGTGGGCACGGGCCGGGTTTTTTTCGTGGTCCGCGGGCTTACACAGGCCCGGAGCGGGCCCGGGCCCTTAAAATTAAGATTCGTGCGGGCCCGGGCCTTAGCAAAAAGGCCCGGCCCGTGATAACCCGAAATAGGCCCGTAAAAGCCTGAAATAGTTATACGAGCGAAAGGCTTTTTTCAACATCGGGCCATGTTTTAAATGAAAAACGCTCTAGGCTAAAAAGCACAAATTTAGAAAACATTTTATTTTTAAATAAAAATTTGACTTAGTTCGTTTTTTATTAAATACATAACAATATTCAATATACCTTAATAAATGTGCACTTATAATATATATAAGTTGCATGTCTTTTAAATTTCCTTATATGTGTAAATAAGTTTCGTGCCGGGCCGGGCCTCTCAAAAAAGAGTTTGTTTTCTACTTCATAGTATCGGAAACGTTTATTTCTATCTGTTACTTACATTCCAATTTTCCTGTATTTGTCAAAAGGGAACTGCTAAAAAAAAACTTAAAATGGCTTTAGCACAAGATTCATATTAAGAGGAGGATACATATATTCTTAAAACTGTAACCTACCTGAAATTCAAAACAAGTTCATACTTACACTTAAAAGAAGAAATATCTAAAACCACAAAAAAATCATGTTTCGTAAAACACAAGGGTAACAAGACAAAAGCGAATTCTTTGAAAGATTTGAACGCCTTTTTGTATCTCATTATCTAATTTTTATACCCTTGCAGAGGGTATTATAATGTTTGTCAAAAGTGTGCAACGCAGTGAAGGAGACATCTCCGACCTTATAAAGTATATACAGTGGCTCACATCTTATTTCCACCAGTGCTCAAGTAAAACTTTAAATCGCTGAATTTGCAAATTAAGAGAGATATTGGAACATTTCAAACGCATATTTATAGCTCTGTATTTTAACTTTTATTTCATGAATTCATTTTTAAATATTTGTTTAATATTTATTTTGATTTTTAGACTCAAATAACAGGTAAAATGAATGCCACAGCTTAGTTCAACCAGCCCTTAAAATTATATATATTTTTTTAAGATTATGTACTAAAAATGATAAAATAATATTTTTTATGACCAGCCTCCTTGTAAACAATCATTTAAAGTCTTTTTGGGATTGAATCGACCAATTTTTAAGTCACTTGGGGACTAATTTTGGCCCATTCTTCGAGTAATGCGTTTTTTAGGTCCGTCTTATTGAAAATTTGACGCTTTCTAATTTTTCTGTCCAATATAGCCCATCAATTATCAATAATATTATTATCTGGAGACCAGGCTGATGGTTTCATGATATGCGGGCAACTTTAAATGAGCCATGTCGGCAGAGTTCGCGATGTGTGCTTGGGATAATTGTCCTGATAAAATCGGAATTTATCACGAATCCCCAGATTTTCTGCACTTTGCAGCAAAATGGACTTCAATATGTTTAAATTAAGAGTTTTGTTCATTGTTGTGTCCACCAAATCCAAAATCCCGGCTCAGGCTGCCGACATACAGAGATTATATTGGTCTTTGATATAACCATGTCCGTCTGTCCGTCTGTCTGTTTCTACGCAAACTAGTCTCTCAGTTTTAAAGATATCGAATTGAAACCTTGCACACACCCTTTGCACGCAGTAATAAGTCGGAATGGCTGGGATCGGCCGACTATATCCTATAGCTGCCATATAACTGCACGATCGGAAATGCTACAACTTTGGTGTTTTTAAGGTTGGGATTTTTTATGAGTATTAAGAATGCATCATATGATTAATTTTGGAGAATATAATTTACAGAATATTCTGCAGTGTATATTAATTTCGGCTCCGCCCGAAGTTAGCTTTCCTTTCTTGTTAGTAGTAAGTTTGGTTAACTTTGTTTATCGTGGCACAGAAATTACCAAAATATTTTTGTTTTTAATAAACAAATTTAAGTCACCTAAAAACTTTTTCAAAATAAAACTGATTTGTATATAATTCAAGTGTATTAAACTTTTTCCGTAAAATAAATAATATTATTTTTAAAAGAGGTTAGCAGCATTTGATACTTTTAAGCGCATTGGGGAAAAACTTTTTGAATATCTAAATAAATAAACGGATGGGCAGCACTGGTGCCTATCGATAACGCGTGGCCGATAGCGCAATCGATAGCCTCGACTCGGACGTGGTTTTTCCCATTTGGCAATGCAGCAAATTCGCGGATGTAACGAGACGCCGTGCTCCCCGTATCCTGGAGATAAACAAACGTAGTAAAGTAGCCCGCAGGTGTCACCTTGCATGTGGATCCAATAAAGGAGCGAGAGGAATTCTTCCGCAGACCTTAGTTTCAGAATTAAGGTAATCTTCCCCTGGTTTGATATTGTTAAGTTTAAGACCCGGATGCGATAAGTGCTCTTCGGGGGGCGGGGAGTCCCTCTGATTACTGCGCATTACTTTGGACGAACCACTCTCAACGATCTTCTCCCACAGAGCAACAACCAGAAGCAACTAAACGCAATGTCGACGGCGCGCAATTCCGCTGAGCCAGCGGATTTGGCGCTCTTGGTGGGCAGCAATAACAACAATGGCAGCCGCAGCAGAAGTGGCGGCACTCCTCGGAAATATAACACCGCCGGAGCCCCAAACTCCATCAGAATGTGGCCCGCCAGCAACATAAACAACAACCAAAGCAACCAAAAGCAGATAAACTCGATCTGCCAGCAAGCGCAGGCGGGTCACAAGCTGATGATCATCATGCGTGGTCCTCCGGGAAGTGGAAAGAGCACTCTGGCCGAATCCACCCTGCGTCAGGCCCACTTGCTCGAGCGGCACAAAGTGCGTGACTTTGTCTTCAGCTCGGACGACTACTTCTGGACGCGCCATGGGTACGAGTTCGATCGCACCCTGCTACAAGCCGCCCACGAGTGGAATCAGCGTCGAGTGCGCGAGAAGGCCGCCAGCGGCTGGAGCCCCATCTTCGTGGACAACACCAACACGATGGTGTGGGAAATGCAGCCCTACGTCCAGATCGCCGTGCAGCACGGATATGTCCTGGAGCTGCTTGAGCCACAGACCAGCTGGAGCAAGTCGGCAAGCAAGCTGGCGCAAAAGAACACACACCAGGTTCAACGGGAGGCCATACAGCGCATGCTGGAGCGCTATGAGCGCACTACTGCAGAAGACCTCATTCAGGTAAAATCATAATCCATTCCTATTAGAGAAAACTACCTTAATTATTTATGTTGGGAACTAAAAACTTTTTTAATTTGATGCTTTGTTGTGAGTTACTATTTGAATGAATTGGTAAGATATGAAACAAATATTTTTTTAGCTGAGCACATGAAAAAATACATTTTTTTATAAGGCGGGACTCAAAACTCTAAAAAGACTCAAAACAATATTATAAAATAACGAAATATTTTTAGAGGGACTTATAACTTTAGTCAAAAGTTTACAATGCAACGAATGAATCACATCCGACCCTATAAAGAATATATATTCTTAATCAGCATCACCAGGCGAGTGAATATAGATATGTCCATCTGCCCGTCCTCTCAGTTTTAAAGCTATCTGCATGAAACTTCCCCCAATTCTTTCTATAAATCATTTTAAAAAATGATAACTTTGTTGTTTAACCATTGTTTACACTTTCCGAAATACGGGTTTCATTTAATATTGGAAATTAAAGAATTTATTTTAAGTAAATTCGTCATAGCATTATTGTTTTTAAATATATTACATATTTGATATAGTTGCAATGGTACAAAACCTTTTTAAGACATCTTTAACTATTTTATCTGGATAAAGTCTCGTGACCGATATAGACAAGGCAGAACTTGTAACTCAAACCAAAAAGCCGATTAAGAAAGGTTTAATATTAGTCCCGATCGAAAGGATTCGATCCCTTATACAGTAGTGCATATTTAAATGTATTTTTTAATCTAATTTTTCGGCAGTTGTTAAAGGAGACAAAGTACACAGTGGACCTGCCGCAACTGCGTCAACGTCCGCCGCTTCCTACGGTGCCTGTCGTCAACACATCAGATGAGAACAAGTCTTTGGAAGCCTTAGTCCCAGCGCCACAGCAACATACCTATAATCTAAATGCTAATGCCCAAAGCTGGGTGCCCTACGAACAGGGAGCGCCATCTTACTGGTCACAGACAGCGGATTCAGCAGAATCAGGAGACTTAGCATTTCCGGCAGTATCGGACGCTCCGGTTGATCCAGCTTCATCATCGTGCGAGGCTTCGCTTATCAAACTACTTCGCGACGAGACCAAAACAGAGAAGGCGCCACCGAAAGCCGAGTCCAGTGAGGTAAAGCCTTTTCAGAGGCACCGCTTAGACTGCCCCAATGAGCCTGGAGGTTTTGCACTTTTGCGCCAGATGTACCCCAACAAGCAGCTGGCAGGCCTCTGGGATCTCTTTGTCAAGTGCCAGGCCGACGTGGACTGGGCCGTTGATATTCTGCTTAAGGAGGACGAGCTCAACGCTGCAACGGGATCGGATCAGTTCGGGCTAGAAGCTACCGTGAATACCGAGGAGGGGGCGGACTTTCTATGCGATTGCGACAAGTCGGTAAGGAGCCAAGAGTCTCCAGTTTCCAGTCCCAAGTCCTCGTCTCCAACTCTGCCAGCTTCTAAGCCCGCATCTAAACCGCAGCGTCTAGCCCGCAACAAACGCATTTCGGTGCCCACCAACAAGGAGTTGCAGCTGAAAATCCAGAATTGCTTTGTTTTAGGTGAGAGATTCACTTGTAAATGGCACATTATGTATATTCCATAGAAGTCAAGTTGATGCCATTGCACAAGGTATTTTAATTTCAGTCAAAAGTTTGTATCGCAGTTCCGATACACAGCGTATATACCCCTTTCCCAACTTTTCACTTTAAACTTTTTATTACTATAAACCCAGTCTAAATGCATTTTGATTAAAATATTAGTATATTTACGATTGTGTATATATATATATATAGTATATTTATATTGTGATCCGATATATTATAAATATGTGGTTTCGATCCTTTTTCAGGCGACGAACAATACTCGGAGCACACCCGTAAAATTCGCGACATTCGTAATGGGATTCTGGACCAACCCGTAGTGACCAAATTGCCGGAAGAGCTCGAAGAAGCGGACCAGGAAGAGCCGGAAGAGGGGGACCCTGAAGACAATACTTTGCTTGAAATGGATCTGGGCACCGTTCTTATTGAGCAGCTGCGCACTCAGTTCCACACGGACGATGAGATGTTGCCGACGGAGCAGGAACTACCCGCCGGCACAAAAATATTTGTGCCGAGACAGCTGGCCAAGCAGCTATATATGCTGTGGATGGAGGCCGTGTACAACCAGCTGGAAGAGCAGCGCCAGCAAACACTGCGTGATGATGAGCAGTTCGCTCGCTTGCTTAAGCACCCGGAATACGCTGAGTGCAGCGAGTCCCCGAGCAATGTAGGTGAACTTCTGGACATGGAGTTCGCCTGGAGCATATACAACAGCGAGCAGCTCGCAGCCAAGCAGGCAGCCGAGTTGGCCGCCCGTAAACAACCACCCAACGACATCGCCACCCACCTAACCAAGATGAAGCTGTGCGAGACGTTCCCCAACATTCCCAACGACACGGTGCTTGAAATCTTTGCGGCCACCGGCAGCAACTATGGCCAAACAGTCGAGGTCTTGGACAGCAACGTACAGAGCTCGCTCACTGGTGCCGAGCTATACGAGCAAGCTCTTCGCGAGGGTGAAAAGTTAAGTGATCAGGTGGCGCTGGAGGAGCAAAAGAACCTGCATTCGCAAAAACAAGTGCAACAAAATTCCTCCGGCCAAGGCCAGCGCTCCAGTTCCAGTTCGTCCACCACTGGTCGTTCGCCCCTGCTGCACGAAGAGGCGAAGTGTGCTGCTCTCCGCGACTTTGAGGAGACTCGAAACATGGCCGCCCATCACTCCCAGCTAAAAGCTGAGTGCTACCTGAAGGCCAAGCAGGCGGTACAGCGCGGTAATGGCAGCGTGGCGCTTTATTATTCTGAGATAGCCAAGCTGCACAAGCAAAAGATCGACGTCTTCAACCAGCGGGCGGCCAACTGCATTATGGAGGTGCATCGGCACACGCAGAACAACCCCGACCTGTTAGACCTGCATTACCTCCATACGGTAGAAGCGATCAGCTGTCTGGACCTCTTTCTCGACCGACACATTACTGTGCTGCGCAACTCCACACGCGTCTACAAGCATGTCTTCATCATCACGGGCCGTGGATTGCACAGCGCTAACGGAGTGTCCACCATTAAGAACCGGGTGAAGTCCAGATTGGGCGAACGGCGTTTGCGGTAAGTGAAAGACAATATTTGTCAAGAGCCCATCTTCAAATCATTGTGCTTTTTCAGATGGCAGGAGGTCAATCCAGGCTTGTTGCGCGTCAAGGTGTTTTCGGCGTCACGCCACTCAAAAAACTTCTAATTGGACAGGGACTTGCGAGCCAGAGTGGGCTTGAAATTGCCAAGAAGGACCAAAGGCAACGAACAGAGAAGCGAGATAACTACCTCATCCGTTAATTGATTTTAGTATCATTGCTTACAAAATTCGAAGTTTAAGATTCCCTCCAATCCTGCCCACTGTATTACTTTTGAATGTGTTCTAGAACCAATGAAAACATTCCCGATTTTATTACTCTATATTACTTAAAATGCTCGTCCCTATTTTTTAACATAAGTTTCAACTTTGCTTCCAAATTGGAGTTCGTGTAAGACGCGAATTTTCAATCGCCGCTGCAAGTGGGTTTCAAGTATCTTCCTATAAGATACCTATACACACAAATTACTTATTTTGTAATACAATTTTATAAAAACTACCCCATAATGTTCATAAAAGTGTAAGAACTCTAGTTTTAAAGTACAAGTTATCCAAAAATTACCATTAAAGTTCAGTTTGGTACGCAATATTTGCGAGTGTTTCAAAATGTTTGCCTCCAATAGAGCGAGTCGTTGTACAAAAGACTACTAAGCCGAGAACTATCTAGTTTTCACATGTGGGAAAACTAAAATACATTTTCCTATATTAAATATTCGTAATAAGTGGACAATCAAATAGAGCGAGACGTTGTACATAAGACTATAAAGCCGATCATTGTCTAGTTTTAACATTTGGGAAAACTAAAATACATTTTTGTACGTTAAATGTTCTCAATAAGTGGAAAGAATGATTTATTTTCTGTTTGCAAGTCTATTAAGGAATCTACCAGATTGTGTTCTATACCTAACATTAACTATAAATGTACTGTAAAATAGTAACATGTTTTTATCCTCGAACTGTGACTGGATGTAATTATATTTATTTTGACTAAATCTATTCTTTTCCATCTTACTTCATTGAAGCACTTTTGAGTACCCCTAACATGGTTATTTCTTGAGCTTACAAAAACCTTTTAGTTAAGATGTCGAATTTTTCATGGCTTTAACGGATTCTTCGATGTCATATTTAAATTTTTATTAGCGGTCTTCATACAGGTACCCCTGTAAGACGTCTCATCCTCCTGGCTACCTGACCATCTGCCCACCCAAATACAACCGAAACTTTGGGTATTGTTTGGAACAAGGAAAGACAATCTTTATTTACCACTACAAAAACTTCTAGCCTAACATCGGAAATATAGTGCACGTAGCTAGAGAGAATTCGAGGATTAGCTGAGGATACACATCAGAGTGTACACCTGCTGGCTGAACAACACATTCAGGTAAATCTAACTTAGTCTAGAACATCGATGGCAGTCTGAGCGAGGGCTCCATGGCTTTGGCTGGGATAGGTGGTGGTCACTAGGTGGGGTACTTGAGCGGCGATGGCGATTGGGGGTCGGAGACTCGCGCGTCCGGCGACTGATTCTCCTTGCCGTCGTGGAGACGGTTGCCGATGGCCATTAGCTCCATGAGATTCGACCGGCTGCGCTTGGGCGTGAAGCGCGAACTGCCTGAGTTTGTGGCCTTCTCGCGCGGTGGGGTGTTTAAGAAGACGCCTTCGAAGATCGTCTCCAGGCTTTTGGAGTCGTCGGCGTCGCCGGGCGGGCTGATCTGGGCGTTGATCTCGCACAGGGCCACATACTCGGGGTCGTTATGGCGGGAGGGCTCCTCCTCACCGGGAAGGAGCTGGTGCCTCAGGGGCTGCTTGGGCGTCTCGATGTCCGACAGATTGAGGTCGTCTATGGGCGATGGTGTTCGTCCGTGGGGCGAGAAGGTGCGGATTTCGAAGGTCGGCAGCTCGTCGCAGCTGCCATCAGGAGACAGCTCTTCCCGGTCAAATGCCAGCGACAGATCGCTTTCACTCTCCATGTCCACGGAGGACATTGAGCACTGCAGACGGAAGGACCCGTTCAGCTGGTCTCCCTCCGCACACGTATTCACTGCTTCCGAAGTCTCCATGGTCTGTCTGGACTCTAAAAGGCTGCTGTTGTTTATATACATTACAGGGATCTATTTCTGCCTGCCTGCATCCGCGGCCGACTTCGCGGAATTCTGCGTCCGCAGGTAACCGGTATTTGGGATCAAACCCTGTTCGCAGGTAACCAGTATTTGGAATCAATCACTGCCCTTTTTCCGTCAGTCCAAGCAATTTTAAATCTCAACAATTTAATTTACAAGCCGTCACTTTGCTAGGGATGGGAGACAGATGCGCTCCAGAAAGGGATCGTTCGCTGTGAGTGGCAATCGGGAGCAGCCGATACTCGTGTCAGCCTGTTCTCACAGGCGGCGTTTCTTCAACAGCTACAAAATTCTGCAACAGCGCCTTTTTTTCTAGCACATGACAGCTAGAAAGAGATTACAGAATAATTATTTAAAATTATACTTTTCTATGAATGTAGGCATTCAACTCACCAGCCTTGATGTAGCATTAAACATTAAAGTCACAAATATAACAAGGACGGAAGCTAACTTCGGCAAGCCGAGTTTTAATACCCTTGCAAACTTTGAAAAGATTGAAAAGGTAGCGAAAGGAATAATGTATACATAAATAAACTAGATTTGCACAGTTTCATGTCAATAGCTTTTAAAATAAAAAAGATTTTTTTGCAGCTTTTAACAATTTTTCTTACGGAAGCTATAGGTATATAGACGTCCGATCGGCAAGCGCTTTTACCCTGATTAAGCTATGCTTAAATAAATAAGACTTGAAAAAATGCATGTCAATAGCTAGTATACTGCGCGAAATATCCTAAATATCATTAACCGATTTCACCCTATTGTTCCTATGGGAGCTATAGGATAGGACGTCCGATTGGCACGCGCTTTTACCCTGGTCAAGGTATCCATAAAAAAATACGGTTTGGAAAGATTCATGTCAATAGCTTTACACTGCGCGAAATATCTTCCATTCATGCAAGTTATATCCGATTGTTCCTATTTGAGCTATAGGATGTAGACATCCGATCGGGGCGGTTTTCAAACTTGATCTTCGTACACATGTTTAAGGAAGACTGTGAAAGTTTCACATCGCTAGCTTTCAAACTGAGCTCGCTAACGGTATTGAAACAGACGGACAGACGGACATGGCTATATCGACTTCCCTTTTGATCCTGATCAAGAATATATATACTTTATAGGGTCGGAAACGTCTTCTTCACTGCGTTACAAACTTCTGGCCAAAATTATAATACCCTCTGCAAGGGTATAAAAATCGCGATGGCATCACAGCCTTTGATGGCCATAATTTCTGATTGATAACTTAAATTCAAACACAAATTTAATGTCAAATTTTTTTTATAACTTTAATTCGAATCTGTCTTTTGTTTGTTTCGTTTATGCTTAGCTTGCATTTGCTCGTTAAACAAGTTAATTAGTGAAACTATCGTACATCGCCGTTAAAAGACATAAACTGTGATATATACGGTATAGCATTTACTTGAGTTTACACATCCATTTATAGTACTCCATTTTGCTAACACTGCTGCATTCCGTAAAGTGCAATTAAACATTTATCTATCTTAAGTAAGTTTCGATGCGCAAGCTTTTAGCTGCCCACTCAACACAATTGTTGCTCTGTCATAAAAACAATTTATCAATAAATTATTTAACAAATAGTTCAAAGCGTATTTGAAAATATACATTAATAGTTTGTGTTTTCCTTACCTACAATTAAATTACATTTAAATACAAATCGTTAAAGTAATGCCTAGAAAACAAATTTTATTTCTTGGAAGTTTGTTTTTATCTTAATTGTTATACATATTTTGAGCGGAGATTTTATTTAACTAACACCGTTTTGGTTTATTCCATACTCTTGGGGTGAAACACGAAAGTTGCCACAAATCTTGTGCCTAAACATTTAATTTAATTATATTAAATTCAATATGATGCTTTTTCAGTAAGCGATGTCCCTTATTCTCTGTATGTGTATGTATATTTATGTATGGTTATGCAGGTTATTACTATGTAATTTTGATGGTGAATGGCTGGATGCATATCTCCTTATTTTTATCCCAGCACAACCCCTTTTAGTTTGAGTATTAGACCGTTTATTTATTTAAGTGTGCCTAAAATTCTTTGTTGGGGTTACTAGTTTACCCCAACATAATAAGTTAACCAAACCGACTACCGAAGAAAATCTGAAAACAGTCGAGAATTCTACCCATGAACTTTAAATCATTTTAATGGCATTAACTGTTAAAAGTTCAGTTGCAAAATAAATTTTTATACATTTGAATAGCAAATTTGATATCTTTTAAAAAGGTCAACATATTAAAGAAATATTAAATGGGCTGAATGTGCCAAACCATTTTTTGAGTAAAGAGGCGCAGTAGAAGACAACTCCGAACATGTAAACTATTAATTGCAAATTTTTAAAAACCATGAAGCTATGTCCCAAAAAATTGTTTGATCGTTCCTATGGCAGCTATATGATATAGTTTGTAGATTCGATAGATATGACGATATATTTTGATAAAATTAAATTATAAAAAATCTCTGTCTATATCCATGTATTTCCGAACAAGGAAGTTATTTTTTTCTGTTTTGTTCCATTCCGATTAATGTACTATTAAGTTTCAGATAGAAATATATAGATAGAAATGATATAGAAATGTCCGAAATGTCTCGGTTACTGATTTGCAAACTTTTGAATAAAATTTTCATCCTATTCAAGGGTATAATTTGAGAAGATTTCGGAAACTAGATCTCGCAGATCCTCATTGTTTGACATTTGTTGACATTTGAGCCAACTTTGGATTCAGGCACATTATAAGATTTGATTATGGAAACGAAAACACAAGCCTAACCTAATTATAACTTTTTGAAACACACTGTCCAATTAAAATTTAATTCCAAGCAGCCATACTTTTTAGACCTACGTTTTTGTTAGGCTCAAACTTACAAAGTATAATTGAATGAGCTTTAGAAGTTCGATTTTGGTTTTCCAGTTGGGGTTTAACATAAGACTGAGATCTTTGCTGGTCGGATAAACAACTATTTAAGTTTGGCACAAACTCTGAGTAATGCTCTCCGGGTTCTCAGTTCAGGCCCAGCAGCCGCTTGAAAGCCCGCCGGTAGTCCAGGTTGAAAATGGTGTAGATGACCGGGTTCAGTCCGGAGTTGATGTAGCCCAGCCAGGTGATGAAGTTCTTGAACTTGTTTGTGGGGCAGCAGCTCTGGCAGAAGGGCAGGATGACGTACATGAGAAAGAAGGGCAGCCAGCAGATGACGAAGACGCCCATGATGATGCCCAGGGTGCGGGCCGCTCGCCGTTCCTTGGACAGCGAGATCTTCTGCTTCTCCTCGATGAACTGGTTAACGCCGCTCGCCTTCTTCTGCAGCGGGGTGGCGGAAACGGCGGCCGCCCCCGTCGAAGATTGCGGAGGGGTCAGTTTGAGGGAAGTTTGCTCGTCCGCCTGGGTTACGCAGACCTAGAGTCAGGTTGAAGGTAAGAAGGTAAGATAAAAATTTGTATTAGCAAAAAAGTGTTTTCTAGCTTGGAGTCGTATGACAAAAAGCTTTATCTTTCATTTTTAAGAAAACAATTGGTCTATATGTCCTCTAACATACTAACTAACATACTAAAACATTTTCCGCCACTTTTTGATAATGTTACATAATGTTAATGTTAATGTTATTGAACATAAATCTTTTGTAAAATGGGGCATTCCGATTATAACAGAGTTTACAAATTAAAAGGACCCCCCAATTTTTGATTTCAAAAAATCGATTTTTTTATTTAATTCGAACTTATAACTATTCAAGAATGTTCCTTTAAAATTTCAAGTGAAAATTTCAAAAACTTTTCAAGATATAGCCGATTTATGGTGGAAGCGTAAGGCAACGCCGAAAGCTTCTTAAAACTTTAAACGACTGGGGCATGAGGTTACTCAAAAACTATTAATCCAATCGGTTTCAAATTTTAATACGTTATGCTATATATAAATAGCAATAACATGAACCAAGATAAATCAAAACGGTGAAGATCTTATTCACTTTTCAACTTGATTTGTGGCTAAAAAGAAGGCGATTTAAAAGAAACGAGGACGGAAGCTAACTTCGGCAAGCCGAAGTTTTAATACCCTTGCAGACTTTGACGAAATTGCTAAAAGTGAAAAAGTAGCGAAAGGAATAAGGTATACATAAGTAAACTAGATTTGCATCGTTTCAAGTCAATTGCTTTTATACTGCAAAAATGTCATATACAAAAAAAGGGATACTTTCGCAGCCTTTAACAATTTTTCCTATCTCCTTTAAGATATAGACTTCCGAGCGGCAAGCGCTTTTACCCTAATCAAGTCATATGCGTAAATAAATAAGAATTGGAAAATTTTATGTTAGTAGCTTACACACTGCGCGAAATATTCTGATAATCATCAAATTTGGACCGATTTCACCCTATTGTTCCTATGGGAGCTATAGGATATAGACGTCCGATCGGCACGCGCTTTCACCTTGATCAATGTATGCATAAAAAAATACAATTTGGAAAGATTCATGTCAATAGCTTGTATACTGCGCGAAATATCCTTAAAATCATTAAATATTAACCGATTTTACCCTTTTATTCCTATGGGAGCTATAGGATATAGACGTCCGATCGCCACGCGCTTTTACCCTGATCAAGGTATGCATAAAAAATACGATTTGGAAAGATTCATGTCAATAGCTTGTATACTGCGCGAAATATCCTAAAAATCATTAAATTTTAACCGATTTTACCCTTTTGTTCCTATGGGAGCTATAGGATATAGACGTCCGATCGCCACGCGCTTTTACCCTGATCAAGGTATGCATAAAAAAATACGATTTGGAAAGATTTATGTCAATAGCTTTTACACTGCGCGAAATATCTTCCATTCTTGCAAGTTATATCCGATTGTTCCTATGGGAGCTATAGGATATAGACATCCGATCGGGGCGATTTTCAAACTTGATCTGCGTACACTTGTTTTAGGACGACTGTGAAAGTTTCAGATCGCTAGCTTTTAAACTGAGCTCGCAAACGGTATTGAAACAGACGGACAGACGGACAGACGGACAGACGGACATGGCTATATCGACTCCCCTATTGATCCTGATCAAGAATATATATACTTTATAGGGTCGGAAACGTCTCCTTCACTGCGTTACAAACTTCTGACCAAAATTATAATACCCTCTGCAAGGGTATAAAAATGTTCAAAGGTCCTCCATTTTGTTAATTTTTGTGCGAATTAAAAAATCCTAGTTCATGCTATAGCCATACATGTACTCCTCCTAATCCCGTTGTAATTTTTGGTTTCAGATGTTCCAGTGAGCTGAAATCCCATGCGCCGCCAAAAAGAAGGGCTTTTGTTCAATGACAAAAACCAACAACACAAATAAAAAGGATGTTAAATTTTTTTCTTATTTTTTAAGACTTCAAATAAATTGATGTTACAAGCCAATAATAATAATATATGTACATTTCAAATTTTGACGATTTTCAATGGGCTGGTCATTGAAAATCGTCAAAATTTGAAATCGTGAATGAGGGAGGTGGAAGGGGGTCCCCTGTAATGACTTTTCTAAAAAAATTTGTCTACTACAATTAATTGTTTATTTATTATTTTTTTGCAAAAACAAGTTAAATTAAAATCGTAATTCCATAATATTTAAATATTACCAAATCCCAAAGAGCAATAGAAAAAAAATAAAAACAAGAAAGCAAGAAAACTTCAGAAAGACGAAGTTTATATACCCTTGCAGTTATTACAAAACGACTACATTTCGATTTCTATGCCTATATTTCTAAAAACAATGAAGCTATGTCGATTTTGGGCTGCATTTTGCTATCGTTTCCGTAGCAGCTATATAAAAATGTTGTCCAATTTTGATAAAACTAAAAGCGTAGTTCTGATATAGTATATAATTACTGTATCTCAAAGAAATATTTTGATAAATAGAAAAACAGCAAAAAAAACTTTTATAATTTATATATATTTTTTTAATTTTTTGATTTTCCTATGGGATTTAAATTATATAGATGTTCGATTTTAACTTAATTTAAACCGTAATTCCGTAGTACTTAAATATGACCAAATCCGAAAGAACAACAAACAAATTAAAAACAAGAAAGAAAGCTAACTTCGGACGGAGCCGAAGTTGATATACCCTTGCAGAATATTCTGTAAATTATATTCTTCAAAATTATTCATATGGTGTATTCTTAATACTCATAAAAAGTCCCAACTTCCTAACTTTAAAAACACCAAAGTTATGGCATTTGCAATCGTTCAGTTATATGACAGCTATAGGATATAGTCGGCCGATCCTTATGAAATTCGGTAGGTCGGATTAATTGGCCAAAAATAAAACTCATAGAAAATCCCAAATTCCTAACTTTAAAAACACCAAAGTTATGGCATTTCCGATCGTTCAGTTATATGGCAGCTATATGATATAGTGGCCCGATCCTGCTTGCTCCGACATATATACTACCTGCAATAGAAAGACAACTTTTGGGAAAGTTTCAAGCAAAGAGCTTTAAAACTGAAAGACTAGTTTGCGTAGAAATGGACGGACAGACGGACGGGTGGACAGACGGATATGGCTAGATCGACTCTCCTGGTGATGCTGATCAAGAATATATATACTTTATAGGGTCGGAAATGTCTCCTTCACTGCGTTGCAAACTTTTGACTGATATTATAATACCCTCTGCAAGGGTATAATAAAATAAGGTACAAAACCCATATCTTCTCAATTTTAGACATACGCACTAACCTGTATACAGCCCTTTGGGTCGCTCCCACTTTCCGTGCTGATCTCGGCGTCGGACTTTCCTCCGCCGGAGTGTCCTCCGCCGACCCTGCAGCCTCCCCCTCCCCCGCTGGAGGGCAGGAGCTGCTGTTCGCCATGCGGCTCGCAGGTGGACGAGGACTGCGACTTGCGACCGCCCCTGGCCTTGCCGTGCTTAATAGAGTCCTTGATCTTGGCGCGACGCGACTTCTTGACCAGTACGACCACGTGCTGCTGCTGCTGCGGATCGCTGTTGCTCTGGGATCCCGCCTTGGAGCCATCCGGGTGCTGCTGCGGCTGGTGGGTTTCGCTGCTGATGCTCTCCTGGTCGTTCTGTATCATAGGCGTGGCGAACTGGGCGCGATCCCTGCCGCAGCACAGCCAGCTGGCCAGGAGCCGCGACTTGGAGCCGGAGGTGGAGGCGGCGGCGGGCGAGGAGTTGGCCATGGGCTCCAGCTCGGCGGACTTGAGCGCGATCGTGTTCAGCTTGTTGGCCTTGGCCCGCTCCCGCAGGCGCCGCCGCGTGGCCACGAAGATCTCGATGTAGACGATCGTCATGATGGCCAGCGGAATGAAGAAGGAGCCCAGCGAGGAGTAGATGACGTAGCCGCGCTGCGAGGTCAGCTCGCAGGGCGTGGCGCTGGTGAACTCGTCCGGCCAGTCGTTCCAGCCGATCAGGGGCGGACTGCTGATCAGCAGGGAGAGCAGCCAGACCCCGGAGATGAGCAGCAGGACACGGCCCACGGTCCGCTTCTGGGCGTAGTTGATCGGGTCCGTGATCGCCCAGTAGCGGTCCAGGGCGATGGCGCACAGGTTCAGGATGGAGCTGGTGCAGCACAGAACGTCACAGGTGAGCCACAGCTTGCACAGATGGATGCCGAACTCCCAGCGGCCCAGGATCGAGTAGGCCACGTTGAAGGGCAGCACCAGGAGCGCCACCGTGAGATCGGCCACCGCCAGCGACACGATGAAGAAGTTCTGGACGATGCGCAGCGGCTTGTAGGTGAACACACTCAAGATCACCAGGATGTTCCCGATGATGGTCAGCACGATGATGACCGACAGCACCAGGGCGGTCAGCAGGGCCTCCCACTCCGGCACCGCCAGCTGGAGGCCCAGGACGCTGGCGTGCAGCTCTTCCACGGCCCCGCCGCACTCCCCGACGGAGTCCGCTTCCGCCGGAGCCGTGCTCAGTGCCGCCGCCACGGTGGTCAGGCCCTCCACCAGCGAGCCGGTCATGTTGGCCGCCGTCTGCGATTCCATGCCCGCATCCGTAGCCGTGTCCGCATCGCTGCCCCCGGAGTTTGTGGAGCTGACGGCGGCCGCAGCGGTTAGAGCCGCCGCCGCCACCGTTGTGGTGACATTTATGAACAGGATCTGATCTGCCGATGGCATCTTGGCACTGCCTGCCCTGCCCCGCTTACATGCGTCTATGCTTTAGGGCGGACGGAATGTGCGATGTGTGCGGTTGCGCTGGCTTCTTTCTGGGGAGACAAATGGAGTGGAAAACGGGATTAATGTGGCTGGAACACATCGGAGGGAGGCTGAATGCCTTGGGACTTTTCCTGATAACATTTAAAAGACATAAAGTTTACATGCACTATAACATTATTATGTTTAAACAATATGTTTATAGGAAATGCTTCCGGTCCTATGAAGTATAAGCGCATTATCGGAGCTACTGACTTGAGGAAGGTGGATCTAGAAAGTTTGAATAATAGTTAAATTATATTTTAGTTATGGCTGCCCACATTCGCCATTGACACTAATTACTAACCGTTTAAAGAAAGACACCTTTTGTCGCCTTGACGCTTAAAACATTCTTAGTAATAACTGATACATTTTGTTTTTCTGAACACTTTAGAAAATAAAACCAAAATCTTTAAACAGGTGAATCAAATATTGATTATTTACCGTCTCTTGAACAGTTCTCGACTTGACCATTTAATTTTAAATTCCTTTTTTTCCAGACAATTGCATTGTGGATAATTTAAAGACTTTTTTCGTCAATTGTTATTATATTTCTGGCGAAAGTTATCGTGAGCCATTATCGATGGTTTAAAAGTTTTGTCATCAGTCTCAAGAAAATTGCACGAGGCAATCAGGATCATGTCAAATCCAAATTATTTACAACTTGTCAATAAGCATGCACAAAGGACATTCGATTGATGGGACGGACCGGCCGAAGAAAACTTGGTGGCAGCCCGGAAAAAGGTCAAGTACACTTTCTTGGCAGGCCTGGGGAAACACGGTCAGAAGGTCATTAACAATTTAAATGACAAATCTTGTCGCATTATCTCTGCTAAGGATGAAATATTTAAAAGTAATTAAAAATGTCAAGCCAAAAACAGATGGTCCTAAGTAAATTCTTTTCCAGGGATATCGTGGACAATGAACTGCGAGTCCTTTCGCTTGTTTTCCTCAATCAATACACTTTCACCCACCACCTACTCCTCAGTCATCGAATAATTGCTGCTCTGCTCCTTCACTTGACACTTCGTATATCCGCTAAGCTCTTGCCAAGTTTGCTGAGTTTTGCTTTCGGGTTCTTTTTATCCCCCGACCATGCCTGATAGCAGTTGAAAGAACATTAATCAAAATAACCCGCTCATAAACTGAACTGAACGGAGCCCAGAAAATGGGGAAAGGAAGGAACAACTTTGAACCAAACATTTTCATTCAGCAAAAATTGTTTGCGTTTTTTCGCTCCACGGGCGGCAGAAGTGGGGGCTGACTGCCAGATTGCTAATGCCCCCGAATCCTACCTTGATTTCTGTCTGCAAATGCTTAGCTTTTAGTCGGGGGAGGCAGATGTATTTTCGGTTTTTATTCCGGCATCTACAAATAGGCGGTAAAAAGTTTTAAGCGATTTTTAGTTGGTTGAACAGCCATATTTGAACACGATTGAGCAAAAAAAAAACACAAACATTTTATGAAAGTTCAGTAATAGGGATTACTTTCACTAAAATTTCAATATTTACTTAAAAAAAACAAATTGGTTCAAAATACTTTTATGAGGATGTCCCGGAAATCTCTTATAATTTTTAATAGTTTAAAACACTGACTACAAATATATAATCATATATAACGGAAATCTGTAACGAGCCCTACGACCTGATCTACTTTTATGTCAATGGACTCCAAAAACTTGTGTTAAAAATGTGTGTATATATACTTAAAAGCAGTTCATTTTAACTCCAAATTCTAATAAGTAATTTGATAATATTTAAAATAAATAACAACATGTATTTCAGGAACAAATCTTCCTATATTTTTAATACTCTTCTCGTTTAAATTTAAAAGGAAATCATTTTTGTTTGGTCGTGTGCAAAGAATTATATTCCCTCTGGTAAACTGATTTTCTGCTGGAATCTTCGAGACATAATTGAATATCTCGTGGTCGATGGAGGCTTGAGATTCGTGGCGAGAGTTCGTTTCTGGCCTGTCCTGGCCGCCGGGCGATAAGCTTATTACAAAAGCTCCTGATTAAGGAACTAGCGCAGCGCCCAAAAGCAGTCAAGGAACTGTGTTTGTGTTCGCGTGAGTGCGAATGAACAGCTTAGGATAGTTTGTCCCTGACTTGAGTTCAGTTGGGTTCGATGGGAGGAATGGGGAAAAGTTTTTTGAACTCGTTATGCAGTCGCCCGCAAAGGAAGCCAAGCGACCTTGGCTGAGCGGGTTCCGTGTACATATAACGGAGTACATATGTAAAGGAATGCTTATACACATGGACATGTCTTTTTTGGCAAACTTGTCATTACCATTTGTGTGCCTGCATCTGGGAATGTGAGAGGCTACTGTGCCAAAGTTTATCAACTTTGTTTTATTTTTGGGAAATTCAATAAAAAACTTAAAGCCTTGCCCTTGCTTTTAGTATTAACTTTAGTTTCTCAACCAGTTAAAGAGTATCCGAGCTTCGTTGGCAGCCTCGCCGCTCCTTTGTTTTCCTCAATTTTGCGCCGTGTCATGCTCATTAAATATGCAAGAGTTCTGGCATATCTGCAAGATACACGCATCCTCGACATCAGACCCACCCGCAGAACCACCCACAGAGCTTTATTTATAGCCCTCATTAGGCACTTGGCCAGCTAAAAATACAGGAGGCCGAATCGCCTTTGATGCTGATCAAGTTTGCCGCACATAACGAAAGAGATACAAATAAAGTATATTTACTGGCACATGCATCTTGGGAAAATTTTTGTTAATTGGCATTGATGGGTGTGCGGGCCACGCCCTTTCTCCACACCTCAATCCCCCGCCCCTTCACATTTCATTTCATTTGCATGATTAATGTGGCGTACAATAATTCCAACAGACACACAAGTAAAATTTCATCGTTCAAATACACAGCCCCCAAGAAAATTACGAAATTCATAACAAACAAAATAAAGGCAATGAAAATGCTTCGCTTTGATTGCGCGGCAAGCTCTTTGAGCTGCAAGAATTTTAAATATTTTACGCCTAATTAAAACGGGTGAAATTGATTGGAAATTATGAAATGTTTTCGTGCCTAAGTAAACATGATTGGGCCCTCAAAGGAATGTTGAATTAGAAATGTTAGGTGGTTGCTCTGCGGTTTTTCTTCCACTTGTTAACCGATTTGGACCTCTCTGAGGCAATAAAAGACCGCTGATCTGCCGCCCAGTTGACAACTGGCCAACGTTCAGATAAAACTTGGTTGCCAATTTCAACGAACCACCTGCGTCCATTTACCGTTCTTGCAGTTTCACCCTTTTCCCGTTATGCACTAAAAAAAATCATAAGTTGGATTGGGAAACCCAATGGGATTCTCCATTAAATTCTGAAATAGTTTTGAAAGTAAACTGACTCCGCTCTTACTTAATTAATTTAATTTTTTGAATTTATTTTCTAGTATTCATTAAATAAGTGCCTCCGAGAAAAAAAAAAGTTAAAACAAAGTGGAAAGCAAAAGGAATTCTAAGATTATAATTATACATTTATACCTTTTTTGTGAACAATTCTTACGGTGTTGTGACAAGACTATATCTTTAAACAAACTTTGTAATTAAAATTTATTATTCACATACAAATAATTTTGACTTTCTGATGAGTTTTTATTATTCATTTATTATTTTTCTGTATTCGTGCAAAAGTATGTAACAGGTAGGAGGAAGCTATTCCGACCCTATAAAGTATATATATTCTTGATCAGGATCACTAGCCGAGTCGATCTAGCCATGTCCGTCTGTCTGTCTGTCTGTATGAACGCTGAGATCTCGGAAACTATAAAAGCTAGAAGATTGGCATTTTGCATGTAGATTTTAGAAGTTCCTACGCAGCGCAAGTTTGTTTCAAAATGGTGCCACGCCCCCTTTAACGCCCACAATCGCTTATATACGATTTTAAAAATTTAAATATTTCGGAAAAGTAAAAAAGCAGTTTTATTGTGTTTATCAATACCTATCGAAATGTAGAAGAAATTCAATCAAAGTTTCTATCTCGCACTCCCTTTACCTGAGTAACGGGTATCTGATAGTCGGGGCACCCGACTATACCGTTCTCTCTTGTTATAAATAATTTTGACTTTCTGGTGAATAAATAAAACTGAATTATGGCTGTACAAAAATAATTTAAATCCAAAATTATGAATATTTCTTATAATAATTACGGTCCCAGCATTAAACTAACACGTTATTTGTAACTTAAAAAATTTTTGCAAATGTCGTTGCTATTTTTTTTGCAAGTGTACAGGTATGAACTGGACTGAACAGAACTAGGCCTAAATGAAAGTCGACCTGTACTCAATAAAATGCAATTCGAGTCGAGTTGAGTTGGGCCCGGTGAATGAAAAATGAATGAATAGGAGGGATGGTCAGCTCCTCTGCCTTATCCACTTATGTGCAGGCGCTGCGGTCCTTTCAGGACACTCACGCACTGCCAGCACCCAGCCCCAACCCCACCCCACAGCTTTCATGCAGTTTTCCGCTTCTATTACGCGACTATCGATACAGTTTTGGGCTAGAAATTGGATTAAGTGGGGCCCTAACACTGGTATTCTGTCTGGATGGCTTTGTTGCCACCCGGCTGAGTAAAATATTTAACTGTGTTCGAAGTGAAGTGAACTCTATAGCCGTTTAAACCGTTCACAAGTTGCGGGCTTAATGTATTTTAAAGAACCATACATTAAACCACAGACAGGTTGCAAATTTGTTTACGTGTTGATGCGGAGTTCTGGTTGGCTTGTGGATTTCGGTTTCTTTTTGGGGGTCCTCTCTGTTTTTCCGCTTTTCCCGTCTTCGTTGTTGGCTTTTGCATGTGCCATGTGGGAAATATCCTCGCCCGATGCCATTTTTCCTTCTTTTTGTTTGGCAATGACAAGAACATGCAGATGTGTAAAGCAATTGGTCGGAGACGGGGTCGTGGAATAGGGGACTGCTTCCCAAATGAGCAGCAGATTGATGAAGCAGAAAATATTCGCCGTAAAGAAATGAGCGCTGCTTCTGCTGCCGACTGACAGATTGAA